TTTGTCAAATATCAAGAAGCTGTGATAAGTAGTTGGTGAGAAAACTGTTACGAAAATTTCCAACCATTGACCATTAATATCGAAAATTTAATAAAGTCAGTAAACAGGAAATGGATGAACGACAGACCTGAAATCGAATCACACAGTATAGGAGCATGTGTCAATGCTGTATGCCAAAGAGGCTGTGATTTGTAGTTGCTGAGAAAACTGTTACGAAAATTTCCTACCATTGACCATTAAAGTGGATGAGTGACAGACCTGAAATCGAATCCCACGGTATGGGACCATGTGTCTATTCTGTAAGCCAATTCCAAGAGGCTGTGATAAGTAGTTGCTGAGAAAGCTGTTGCGAAAATATTTCCCGCCCGACCGCCGCCCGACATTCACCATTCTATAAGCCGGGTATGCACCAGTGCAACCCGGCCAAAATCAACACAAAATACCCAAGTGCACAACTACACATGCTGATCAACGTTCCTGTAAAGTTTAATGACCTAGGTCAAATTATATTTGAGCTAAGTGCGATACAAGTTGAAAATTGCAATTTTTTACTAAGTCAAGGGCAATTACTCTGACAAAACAAAAAGAAAATCCACAAAATAAACCCCAGGTGCACAACTTCACATGCTGATCAACATTTCTTTAAAGTTTCATGACACTAGGTCAAATACTTTTTCACTTACGAGCGACACAAGTTGAAAATTGCAAATGTTTACTAAGTCAACGGTAATAACTCTAAAAACACTAAATAAATCCACATGAAAATACCAAGGTGCATTCTTGTAAGGTTTCATGACTCTAGGTCCTACGTGCGACACAAAATGAGATCGGACGGACAGATGGACGTACGGACGGACAACATCAAGGGTAAATCTCAAAGCCCCACCCCCCTCAAGTTGGTGCACAAAAACATTACAAAGTAAAATAACACAACTCAAGCAAAAATCAATTATTTGACCTTGAATGTCAAGAGCATTTATATGTCAAGGTAAAGTCCAGTTCAGTCAACTTAAAGGCCTTGTCCAATTGTTTGTTGTGTCCAATATGAGGGCAATCCATTGGAAATATTTGTTATGATCAAAATGAAAGTTTTAAGACAGAAACAACAATCGCAACGTTAACATGACTGTAGGAATAGCTTTTTTCTCTTTAAAAAAAGTACAGATAACTGTAAAATATAAGGTTATCTACAACACAATGCTTCGTCAACAGTGTGAATTGGATTTCACAATAGTAGACAAAAATGGGTTTCCCAACAATGAACATTAAGTAACATAATTGCTGTAAGAAATGTTAACAAACACAACCAAGGCTAGTGTCTTTTGCTCTTTATCAAAACGGTAATAAACATTTTAAACAAGTGTAATGAACATGCCAGATCAGAAGTTAGAGAGCGGAACAGAAATTTCTTCGTCAGATCTTCACCAATTAATTTGAACATTTCCTTAAACTGTCACTATTTTTATCCTTTTATTTTTATAGTTGGAAGGGAAAGGGAGTGGGGGATGTTTACGTCGCACTAACAAAGTAGATGTCACATAGCAACTTTCTAGCTTTATGGTGGCTGAAGACCTCAGGTACATTATTTCAAGCACAGGCGGTCACCTTGGAAGAAGCACGGAAGATGGATAGCTTCCTCAAATAAAATAATCAGAAGTCCATGGTTTTTGCTCCCTTGTATAAATATATAATCTACAGAGCTACCTCTTTTTGAGAAAAATGATAAGTGCATGCTGCCCGAATTTAAGTGTCAACTGAGGTAAATGATGTTGTCTCATGTTACCTTTTTGTAATCTTTGCATGAAATATTGAAAATAGAAGTTTGTATACATTGTACATCTGAATAATTTCCAGGAAACAAAAAAATGTGAATTTATGTTTTAACTTTTGCTATTGCAGCGTTTCCCAGTTAGCAAATTTAGCGTTGGTATAAACTGTTCATCATCAACATATTTTTTTTAGTAAAATAACAAAGTACTTTGGACTTTATAACATTTAAGTAACCTCACATTCAGCCTTGGCCTTGGTTCGTTAAATGTTTGCGAACATATTGATCTGTCACTCTACTGCTATAAGACTATCAGTGGTGTGTACTATTTCTTAATTATCTCTAAAAAGAGCTGTCGGTAGGACAGCAATGCTCGACTTTTCTTAGTGCTTGATAGTAAAAGAGCCTTGATAATGTAAAATTTTAACAAAAGGGTAAAACTTTTCTTTAAATCCATGTTACAGTTTTAGGCCTTGGATAGAGTCCTAGTATGCTCTCAGAGAAGAGTATAAAATTTCAACTTGTTTCAAAGCTAGATGTCTTTAAAATATGAAAATATCTGAGGTGGTAATCAAACTTAGATGTAAATTCTTAATTAAAAAAGGGGCACTATTCTGCCAAATGCTTCACAGAGTTACATCCTCCTGTATACAGGTTGGGGTCATGATGGTGAACAAATGTGCAAAGTTACAAAGCCATATGTAAATGGACTTTGAAAATATTTGAGGTGTTACAAAAAACTTTAACGTAAAAATTTAAGTCGAAAAAGGGACATAATTCTGTCAAAATGCTTGATAGAGTTACCTCCTCCTGTCTACCGGTTAGGATCATGATGTTGAACAAATGTCCAAAGTTTCAAAGCCTTATGTCAATGGACTTTGAAAATATTTAATATGCATAGATTCCCGACCTATCTTATTCTTATCGTCAGATTAGTGGAAAAGAGCACATGTCAATGTTTGTGGTTAAATCTATTGTTATTCAAATAATATGTCAGAGTAGGGTTCAATCAATGTATTACAAAAATTTTAATGTTAATTTTAACTCAAACAAGAGCTGTCACCCAAGTGACTAATGCCCCCGAAAAGGTTTCTGAAGCATGCAGGTATTCTGAAAAGAAAGATAATGAAAGTAACTAATTGCTGAATATTGTTCATTGTATTATTGTACCTGTACTCTCTATTGTGATAGCATGAACCTTCAAAATATAAGTGTGACTTTGACCTTTGATGAAGGGACGTGGTTCCTTGACGCGACAAAATGTTGTTATGAGATAGATATTTGTGTCAAATTATTTCAAAATCCCTCAATGCATGACAAAGTTACAGTCTTGACCAGATTGTTGTGTAAGTGGGGGCACACGGACAGACGGACATAAGCCTTATCCGCGACACATTTTCTTGATGTGGTAGACATCTGTGCCAAGTTATTTTAAAATCCTTTCATGCATGACAAAGTTACAGTCCGGACATGAATTTGTATCTTCAAACTCTTCTAGAGAGAATAAGTACCTTCAAACTATAAGTGTAACATGGGTCTTTGTCATGACACATCGTCCTTATGTGGTAGACATGTATGCCTAAATATTTTAAAATCCTTCGATGCATGACAAAGTTACAGCCCGTACACGAATGTGTGTACCTATAAACTCTAATTGTGAGAAAGTGAACTTCAAAATTGTAGTGTGTCCTTGATATTTGAGGTAGGGACTTGATTATTAGACGCGACACATTGTCGTGATGTTGTAGATATTTATGCCAATTGATTTTAAAATCATTCCATGCATGAAAAAGTTACAGCCCGGACGCGATTGTGTGTACTTATTAATTCAAATTGTAATAATTTGAAACTTTTAAATGTTAGTGTGACCTTGACCTTTGAGGTAGGGACGTAATTCATGGACGCGACACATCGTCTTGATGTGGTAGACATTAATCCCTAGTTATTTTAAAATCCTAACCATGCATGACAAAGTTACAGCCCGGACACGATTGTATGTACCTATTTTCTCTTATTGCGATAATGTGAAACTTAAAATTGATAGTGGGACCTTGACCTTTGATAAAGAGTCGTAATTCTTAGTCTTGATGTGGTAGACATTTCTGCATAGTTATTTTAAAATCCCTCAATGTATGACAAAATTATAGTCCGGACACGAATTAAGTGGGGACGCACAAACGGACAGACGGACGGACAGACGGTGCTATTACATTATGCCTCCCTTCGAGGGCATAAAAAGGGGCATAATTCTGTCAAAATGCTTGACAGAGTTAATCCTTCTGTCTAAAGGCTGGGGTCTTGATTGTGAACACATGTGCAAAGTTTCAAAGCCATATGTCAATGGACTTTGAAAATATTTGAGGTATTACAAAAACTTTAATGAAAATGTAAGTCGAAACACGCGCATAATTCTGTCAAAATGCTTGATACAGTTACCTCCTCCTGTTTACAGGTTGAGTCATGATGGTGAACAAGTTTGCTCAATTTCAATGACTTAATAAAATATTTGAGGTATTACAAAACCTTTAACATAAGTGGTTACGCCGACGCTCGTTTGACTACAATAGCTCTACTTATTCTTATCGAATAGTCGAGCTAAAAAACTGGTAATTCTAACTTTTATGAATATATCTTATAATTTTAAAATGAAACGGGCTAATGAGGCACTATCTTTAAAAATCACAGACAACTATGTCTGGGTATTGTTTGGCAATATATACCCCAGACAATTGAATATTCAATAACTTTTAGTCGATATTTATCGCATTTCGAAATAATTTTACGGATTTTAAAGTAAAGCATTACGGCACACATGTTTTTTACATGTATATAACTTAAAGTTAGTAACGGCACTTGCATAAATAGCCTGAATGAAGGAGTAAAGACTTTCAGTTTCATTTTACAGGTATAGCATGTTCGAATCTAAGTGAAACATCTTTTTAATTTTAACTTTTAAAATTTTTGCAAAACTTGAAAACCGTGATTGGGAGGTGTACTCATTTTGCCTTAAATGCTTTTCCATTAATAATAAATAAATGAATAATTATAAAGTTAAAGATTTTTGTACATGTAAATGTCAATTGAAACAATGTGACGACTGATAAACTTAACTTGATATCTTTCAGATAAAAACTTTGTAATGTATATCAGGTCAAAATCAAAGTCGTAAATATCGTTATCAAAGTCCAAGAGCCCAATATCGAAAAGTAAGATTAAGGCAAATCATTTGTGTAAGCGGATGATACCAACCAAGCAAACTTTGTACATTTATCCTCCTAATATTTAGCAACTTACTGTGGATGATCTCAACCTGCGACACAAGTCTGAAGATAACTTAAGGTACGTTGATTCTTAATAGTTAAATTATCCATGAATTACTCTTTCAAAACGGTGATATTTTTTGGTTTCAAGGTCTACGGTAATAAAATACAGTTGGCAAATTTTTGAATTTGAAAAAAAAATATATTGAAGAGGACTTTCAACAATGTTTAAAATGACTTAAAAAGCATATTTAAAAAGTAATGTATGATATCACAAATTTCACTTCATGCCTTTTAGTCAATAAACTGGAGGTTATTGTTTTTGCCGTGTGTCTGCAGATTTGTTCAATCTTATATTTAACATAAACTATACACAGGCTTATCATTATTGACACTATACATGCTCTTTTATATGGCAAACATTCTAAACCAGGACTTTATATTTTGACATGCAAAACATGACGACAATGACCCCAATATGATGTCAAAAAACGGCCATTATGATCCTGAATCGCTTATCTGAGATACAGTGCTAGAAAAGGTTACAATTTTCATTTTTCAATGTTAAGTAAGTAATGAGGTCATATTGGATTTGTCATATTTGAACCAAGTAGCATAATGTTCAAATGTGATCCTTTGGAGGCTTAAAAACAACAAAATTACATAAAACTGCATATTTGGTTTGATTAAGTCTGTACATAGGGAAAATTGAAATAGTGCAACATCCCTCATGCCTGTGAACCATATGGTATTCATCATATCAGTTTTGTAAAGGTCAATAACGCAATGCTACATGCTAAATATTAGGTAGACATAGTAGTTTCACACAATGAAACTTAAATGCGTATATCTATATAGGTCAATATAAATCAAATAATTCCCGAGGCAGGGCCAACTTTGATCTCAAGAGGTCAAATATGTGTTCTACACATCATCTCATAATACGAAATATTTCTGCCCAAAATTTTCGATTCGAAGGATTCAAGCATAAACTAAATTTTGAAATTCAAACAAAATGTGACCTTGACCTGAGGTAAACTTGAATTTGGGAAGGTCAAATCTGCACTCTGCACATTGTCTCATTATGGTTAATATTTGTGCCTGGTAGATTCTATTTCCTTCCGCCAAAGATTACAGACCGGACATAAAACTGCTAACAGATAGATAGACATACAGGTGCATAATAATGTATGTTTTACCTTACCTAATTGTCAAGAAGCATTTATTTAAATAAAACATCAGATTATTCTTAAATCAATAGAAAATCAGTATAAATAATTCAGGATTGCAAAACATTTCAACTATCATGTCAATTAAACCAGTGTTAAACAATCTTTAACTATTTAATAAAGTTATTATTAAATGAAGATGAAATACCTTGTAACTAGAAATGTGCTCAAAGGATAATTATTCCCTCATTTTATTTGCATGTCACAATAAACTTACGTTTTTGTAAATATTTCATTTTGTATGTCACAATGCAATACTTACAAATTTATACATATTTTTCATTTTGTATGCCACAATAGCATATTAACATATTTGTACATATTTTATTTTGCTTGACATATGGATCTTATCAAAAAGTACAACTATTATATTATTAGACCAATCAAAAAATCAAAAAAAAAAATTCTAAAATATCTTTTTGCTAAAGGATAATTTCTGTTCAACAAACAAGCCACAAAATTAAGAAATTACTGCCCATGTTTTGAATTGTGTGTTAGAGTATAACATACATATATGAAAAAGGACAATACACAGACATGCAATAGATAGTAATCTATTCTAATACATTTTAGGTAAAACATGGCAGTCCCAGGAAAGAAAGCATCAAAACAATTTTCATCATCAACAACATCCGTCGCATCGGATGAAGATCTTCAAATTTACTGCCAGCCTTGTGATAAGGAAGGACCTAGAATCTCTGCCCATGGTTACTGCACTGACTGCAAGGAACACCTCTGCAAGAATTGTTTTACAGCACACAAAGTCAGTAGGCTTTCCAAACATCATACAATTCAGGACGCTACCAATATGCCTAAAGTTTTGCAGCAACCCTCAACACGCACCCACACCGGCCAGTCTGATGACCTGACGACACCATGTCCTAAACATCCACAAAAAAAGATCAAGTTCTACTGCAATGACCATGAAAAATTTCTTTGCATTGTTTGTGTTACCCTTGAACATGAAGCAACATACTGCAAAGTTGATTATATACCATTAGACATTTCTGGTGATATAGTAGACAGCAAAGAATATCAAGCTATCTTGAATGCAGTAAATACCACTTCTGACAAATTTCAACAGATATTAAAAGATGTCAAAAGCATGGCATACAAATCGAATAGCTCCCTCAGAAATGCATTAACAGAAATCAAAAACTTTCGACAAGAAATCAACCAAATACTAGATGAACTTGAGAAACAGGCTGAAGATGCAGCTAAAGGTATAGAACAAGAAAACAACAAACATCTGAAAGCAGTAGAAACAACATGTGAAGATATAGCCAAATCTCTGAAAACATCATCAGATAACATCAAACAACTTAACACATCACAACAGGCCAACAAACTCTTCATTGAGCTTAAACTTGCAGAGAAAACAATACAGGATGTGCAGCGAAAAACACAACAATCTTTATCGTATGATATCAAAGAGCACAATTTTCAATCAAATGATGTAATATTGAATTTCCTAAGAACAGAGAAGTCACTGGGTACATTGACACATAAACCTTTAAATGAAAAATCTCAATCTGTACAAATAAAGTATAGACAATCTTTACATGAGGGAAAGATCTGCGTGAAGACATCAAAAGATAAAAGCAGTTGCTTTATAACAGGAATGACTCTGCTGACTTCTGATCTTCTTATCATTAGTGACCGTGATAACAACGCTATAAAGATGGTGGATACCAGCAGTCAATATGTGTTTGATCAACTACAACTAGATGATAGACCATGGGATATCACCACAGTAACCAGTACTAAACTTGCTGTCACTCTTCCTGACATACAAACAATACAATTTATATCAATCTCATCAAACCAACTCAAAAAGAAGCACACTGTGAAGGTTGATGGGCAGTGTTATGGTATAAACTGTTATCAAGGTAAACTTGTTGTGTCATTCCGTACTCCTGCAAAACTTCAGGTCTTTGATATGAATGGCACTTTACTGACAACGATTGATGGAAAAAATATTTTCGAATGTCCAGATAATATCACATGTAACAAAAGTTCTATCCATGTATCTGACAGGGACATGAATACAGTGACAAAGTTAAACTGGCAGGGTGATGTGTTAGGTTGTTATAGTGGTATGAGTTACCCTACAGGAATGTCATTGTCAGATGATGGTACTGTCTTTGTGTGTGACATGTGGAGAAATGTTATAGAAGAGATATCAGGAGACTGTTCCACAGGACAGGTGGTGTTGCATGATCTAGAGACACCAAGGGCTGTATGTTGGTGTAAAGAAACAAAGAAGCTGTATTATAGCTGTGACACTATAAGTGGTGACACATATAACATCTTCCTTCACATCTATAAACTGTCGTAGAACAATTCAACTTTAACTGTACTATCAAAACTAGTAAATACCTAATTAAGTGCATACTTATGTAATGTTGTGTACATTAAACTGGGCGCATTATCCGTAATTGTTTCAAAAACTGATAAAAACAATTAAAATGTTATCATTTGCATATTTTTTTTTAATTTTGTTTGGAGAAAAAATGTTCAAGTTCTTTGTGGTAAACATAGTATGAACATTTATATCATGAATAATTATAAATTCTTTTGTGGTTTGTTGTTATATCTTCGTATACTTAACACTATCAACATAATTATTTTTGTTTTACAAACCATCCACTTTAGACTTATTCACTTTAAGTCATTAAAAAATAAAATTGGTTTTGTCATATAAACATATTACAAATTTAGGGAAGAACTGGTTTAAAATATTTAAAAACCTTTGTGATTTGATCACATGCTCTTTAATTAACATAACGGTTGAATGAATTGTATTTCTTTGTATGTAAACTCCAAAATACATTTTTTAAACGGCAAAACATTAACTGTTATTCTGATAGTAGTAATAACAAGTGTTCATCATAACATGCGGAATACTCATTGTTCGTGTATACGCCGACAAAACAGAAGTTACTTTCTTAGCTTTACATTGTCAAACCATCATGATTCGGATCGGCATAATCCAGCTTTACACGTTTTTAAATAGGAGATAAAATAAGCTCCGACCATTTTCCTGCCCAATATATCATCGTAAATAAACGTATTTATCCGCTCATTTTCGGTATTTACCGTCAGCGACAAGAAGAAAACAAGAACACGCACCGGCAAAGTTTCCGTTTCACTTGCATGATTGCCATTCTATGCCTTTATTACGGAAGTGTCCTGGTGCCAATTTAACATGTTCTATAAAAAAGATAACTCCTACGTAGGAGATAAAAAAGCCTAATTTTGAGTTTATAACTTCTACGTAGGACTTTATAAGTCCTACGTAGGACTTTATAACCCCTACCTAGGACTTTATAACTCCTACCTAGGACTTTTTAGGTCCTACGTAGGACTTTTAAACTCCTACGAAGGACTTTGTAACTCCTACGTAGGACTTTTTAACTCCTACGTAGGACTTTTAACTCCTAGTTAGGACTTAGTTACTCCTACGTAGGACATAATAACTCCTACGTAGGACTTTATAACTCCTACGTAGGACTTTTTAACTCATACGTAGGACTTTGTAAGTCCTACGTAGGAGATAAGAAGCCTAATTAGAAGTTTTAAACTCCAACGTAGGACGTTAAAACTCCTACGAAGGACCTTTCAACTCCTACGTAGGACTTAGTAACTCCTACGTAGGACATTATAACTCCTACGCAGGACTTTATAATTCCTACGTAGGGCTTTTTAACTCCTACGTAGGACTTAGTAACTCCTACGTAGGACTTTAAAACTCCTACGTAGGGCTTTTTAACTCCTACGTAGGACTTTATAAGTCCTACGTATGAGATAAAAAAGCCTAATTAGGAGTTTATTTTATAACTCCTACGTAGGACTTTTGAACTCCTACGTAGGACTTTTTAACTCGTACTCAGGACTTAGTAACTCCTACTTAGGACTTTATAACTCGTTCGTAGGACTTTATAACTCGTACGTAGGACTTTTTAACTCGTACGTAGGCTTTTATAACTCCTACGTAGGACTTTTAAACTCCTATGTAGGACTTTATATCTCGTACGTAGGACTTTTTAACTCGTACGCAGGACTTTATAACTCCTACGTAGGACTTTTAAACTCCTACGTAGGACTTTTTAACTCGTACGTAGGACTTAGTAACTCCTACTTAGGACTTTATAACTCCTACGTAGGACTTTATAACTCGTACGTAGGACTTTTTAACTCGTACGTAGGACTAAGTAACTCCTACGTAGGACTTTTAAACTCCTACGTAGGACTTTTTAACTCGTACGTAGGACTTAGTAACTCCTACGTAGGACTTTATAACTCCTACGTAGGACTTTATCACTCCTACGTAGAAGAACACTTATAAAGTCCTACGTAGGAGTTATAAACTCCTACGTAGGACTTTTTAACTCCTACGTAGGTCTTTAAAATTCCTTATAAGGTTTTTTTTTATCTCCTACGTAGGAGTTATAAAGTCCTACGTAGGAGTTTAAAAGTCCTACGTAGGAGTTATAAAGTTCTACGTTGGAGTTATAAACTCCTTATTAGCCTTTTTAACTCCTACGTAGGAGTAATATGTCCTATGTAGGAGTTTGTAAGTCCTACGTAGGACTTTTAAACTTCTAATTAGGTTTTTATATCTCCTACGTAGGAGTTATAAAGTCCTACGCAGGACTAATAAAGTCCTACGTAGGACTTTGTAGTCCTATGTAGGACTTACAAAGTCCTACGTAGGAGTTTTAAACTCCTAATTAGGCATTTTTATCTCCTACGTAGGAGTTATAAAGTCCTTAGTAGGAGTTACAAAGTCCTACTTAGGAGTTATCTTTTTTATAGAACATGTTAAATTGGCACCGGGACGCTTCCGTAATATTTTCAATCAACATCAGCGGACTTTAATTGATTATAGGCTTACAAGTTTTGAAACGTTTTTACGGAAGCGTCCTGGTGCCAATTTAACATGTAGCACCGAAGAATGCATTGTCAAGTTTCAAAGGCTGGATTTTTGGCAATATTGAATAATGGTAATGAAAATACTTATTAATGATAAATTTTATATTTACTACCTGTAAATAGTAAAAGTATAATTATTTAACTGCAAATTCTAAAAATTCCATTTTAAATACCTATTTTATGCCTATTAATAATGTAATACATTTTTGTAAAAGACTTTTAAAATATGACCTATACTGTGTCGATGTGACGTAAAACCCAAACCAAACAAACAAACAATCACCAAATTGAACAAATTGCAAAGTTCTGTTTTAATGCATTTCTCTTTTTATTTCTGTATATTTATAAAAAGTATTTTGTATATATCTTAGTCGTTTTTTTAGTGTTTTTTACTTAATAAAATTTACCTGGTGTTTTTACTAAATATTTACTAACTGAAATACTTGAACAAACCTGAATTTAAGCAAGTAAGCACTGTAGTTCTACAGACGAAGACTTAAATTTGTTTTCTTTCATAGATACACATCTATATACATTTATATCCCCTTATATTGTAACCAATGTTATAATAAATATATAACTTTTGTACAGGACAATGTGATGTTACATGCCAGATACCTATGCTCTTAACATTATATTTTTACAGAAAACTTGTAAGAATTTTATTTTTAATTTTTTTGGGCTCATATATCCTACGCGTGCATTGGACTGACATTTTTATATAACTTTTGTACAGGGCCATTTTAGGATCATACCTTAATGTCAAAATCAACACATTGTTTAAGTAAATGTTGTTAGTATGAATTGTTGAGAACAACAGACAAATTGCAATGAGTACTTGATGCACAGGTGAGCTAAAAGAACATCAGAATATAAATCAGATAATCTTTAGGATGTTTACCTGTAAGGCTGTCTGTACAAGTTTGAAACAGTCTAGAAGCTTAATGTAACTTTCAAAAAGCATAACTAGTTGGAAAATTAGTTTATATAACTTTTGGCACAGATCTAATTTCTGAAGAAGAAAAAAAACACCAAAAACCGATCAACTGTATCAAATTTGTTTACATGTGATTTTTTGCTTGTATGCATTTTTAGAAAATAAAAATTGATTTTACAAAGTGATAGTTATTTTGAATCATGATTATCCCCAAGTTCTAACCTGAAAAAATACATTGATGGCAGTCACACTTATTTAATATAAAAGCAATTTCGGGTTTAATGTACCAACAACACTTAAGGCCATATGGCGACATTCTATCTTTACTGTTGGAGAAGACTTCAAGTGGCCTTCCATGCTTTATTTCAGGCATCATGAACAGGCAGTTATGAAGAATCACAGACATTCCAAAGGCTGGCTGGATAACTTCATCACATAAAGAATTGAAAGTCCCTGTCAGGATTCAGAAACAAAAGTGGTGAGGGGCAAGTGGTTTGAAGTCAAAAACCTTATCCAATTGCCCACAAATGTCTCTTAGAACATGTTGTCATTTTGCCCAAGCTGCATTATTTGAAACATTTGTAGATCAGATGTATTCCAGGAAATGCTTAATATGTACCAAACCATCAAAGCATTGTCATTCAGACAAGATGAAATAAATGTGTTGTTATATTTTTTGGATTCTTTGGGATCATTGAATCCAGCAATTTTAAGTGTTGAAAATTGAGTAATGCTCAAATCGGTGCTAGTATAGGGGGCGTGAGTGATGTTGCACTTTTTAATGCTTCGAAGGGATCACTTTTTTCCAGCTATTTACTATAGTGCTATATATACTGTGACCTGAAGGCTGGACCATTTCGACCCTAGGGGCATAATTTATTTAAATTTTGTTAAGGACCAAAAAGCAAATGCTACATACATTTGTACTCAAAGAAAATCTAAATTCTCGGCAATATAGTTTAACAAAAGACAACTTAAATGTGTTTTCCTATACACTTACACATAAAATAAGTGACCAAAGGTCTGGGTGAATTTTGGACCAAGAGGCAAGACTTATATAACTTCTGTTGAGGTTCATAAGGCAAATATACTTGCCAAAATCTAAGTTCTGGGCTTTGTAGATTTTGAGAAGACCACTTTAAACTTAACTTTTTTCTTACAAAAGTTAATATAAACTAATTGATACCCTGGATTGGGACCAATTTTGGTCCAAGGGTGGGATTTAGAAAACTTTTGTAGAGGACAACAAGGTGATGCTATTTGCAAAAAATCTCAGCTATTGGCATTGATGTTTCAAAAAAGACTAAATGTCCATAGAACTTAATGACATAGGGATTAGGGCAATTTTGACCCAAGGGGTACCAGGGCTCTGTCATTTTTTACCAATGGACATTACTTACATAATTAAATAGAGAACCAAAAGGTAATGATACATGCCATACATTTAAGCTCCCACCATTGTTATTTTCAAGCAGCATTAAAGGCATTTTTACTGTTAAAGTCTATTCACACCTTTTATTCTAAAAGTCTATGTAAACTAAGTGACACATAGGGTGGGTCATTTTTGACAAAAAGAGAATGAATCTATGCAACATTTGTGACCACAAGGTGAATGTGTGTCTTTTAATATGAAACCTTTATTCTTTCAGAAATCACAATGAATTCAATACCCTAGATATAAACATAGAACACGACTCAAAACTTAAATTGCATTACTATGTTACCATAAGTGT